GAAAGTAACTTCTGTAACTAATTATAAATGTTTACACAATGAATTGATTGGTTCTTGAGTGAATGAGTCAATATACATACCGATTATACACACTGACTTTAATAATATACATTGTTATAACAGTGCCTACTTCACATGGAATTTGTATGTTTAAACCAATCGAAAGGATTTAAAAAGTACAATCAAAGAATATGTTATAACGATATACATATTATGTGTTGTTTCTATAATATACTACTTGGCACAGGTGGCCCAGTCGTCTAAGGCGCCGAGATTCGCTGTGCAGAGTTGCGTCCCTTGGGCACGCCAGAAACCTATGATTGTGGGTTCGAATCCCGGTTCGCCCCGATTATGTTTCTAGGTTTGTCAGCACCATACCCGTGCTCATGGGTTTCACCGAAGTGGTAAACGTCTGAGACCTGCATCACTTCGGGCTTTCCTCCCACATTAAGCTGACACGCAGCGATATAACTGAAATACTGTTAAAGCGGCGTTAAACCAAACTCACTCACTCACTCACTTTGATATACTACATTGCATTGTAACAATAGGGTCACGACGTGCAACAGCTGATGTGAACAAGGTCATTTAGTCAGCCTTGTCCATCGGTTTTTCGGTGAACATCAAGAAAAGTAATATTCACAGGCTGCAGGAGAAAGAAAAAACGTAATTAACAGTCACAATAATACCCCCGCATCAAAAATATGTTTTGAAGGAGCTTTATAACTATACAATTACCGCGCGAGTAGGGGAGACATAATCATATATGCTATCAAGTAGCTGTTACAGTAGATGGCGAAATTCATTACAGAGTAATAATTCATTGAACTGAACTATTTACAAGAAACGTGCATAATACAGTGAAATCCCGTTACCGTTCCGAGTAGAGTCGTCCGGGTTAGCATGTGTCCGGATGAACGAATCATGGGGGCGTAGTATGCTTGTAAACACCCCCCCACCCCCCACACCCCCCACCCACCACCCCCCACACACACACCCACACACACCCCCCACCCACCCACCCCCCTATAAGTAGTCCGGACACACGCCGGCGCAGTGATGACTCAGTATCAGCAGCCATAATAATAACCCCAATACACGTGGTCCTTAAGCATCATCGGTCGCGGAGAGTAGTTGGATGGGTGACCGCGACCGGCAGATTGACCCTTGAGAGTTTCTAGAGCTTCGAAATATGCCTCTGTTCACCCAACAGTAAAATGGGTACCCGGCGGCAGGATGAGATAGTATCGCGCCTGCTAACCTTCTAGCGCCTGACGAGCAGTTTGGGTTGTATACTCCCCAGGGTGCTGAGAATGAAAGTAGACTGGTATTGGTCGATTTTTTAGCGCTTCTTACAGTCACATAAAAATAAATCGGAGTAGCCTCCCATTAAATAGACGCTTTGCAACTTAAAGTAAGTGATAGAGTGAGTGAGTGAGCGTGGATTTACGCCATTATTAGCAATGTGCTATCAACGTCACGTCGAGGAACAACATTCATTGTACCCATGTGGAAAATCGAACCCGTGCCTTCCTCGGTGAGAGAGCGATTTCACCAGTGGGTTTCCCCTGCACACGCTACAGTGAATACGGAGCGATTCCAGTCATGCTGCACCCGTACATTGATGATAGAAAAACAGGGATTTCGTATCAAATAGTACTATCATAGACAAGGGAGAGAGGGCTGCTCGATGCTTATACGACAAGTGAGAGGGATAGAGATTATATAGATATATCAACACACGTAGATGCATTAAGGGCAATGAAATATAGATAGTAGGAAAGCTCGACAGCCAGCCAGACACCAGGACATACCCTGGCACGCACGCACGCACGCACGCACGCACGCACGCACACACACACAGAGGCAGATAGACACACAAAAAAACCGCACAAACATACGGACAGGCAGGCAGACGTAAAGACACACACATATACAGATATACGGACTAACACACACAAAAATACCGACATACATACCGACAAACAAACACATGGACGGACATACGGACACAAACACACACACCCAAGCAGACAGACACACTCATAGACATACAGACACGTGCAGAGATACAGATAAGACTAAAAAATACAAAAAATACATTTGTGATGTAAATATTGTAGATGGTGATGGTATTGTGTTCGTTCAAATGTTAGCAACTGTTTCTCCTTGCTTTTAGCATGCCCAGTCAGTAATATCCCGAATGTAAATGGCCATGAGTTGTTTTTCCTTATGTATTTTACGTGACTTTTAATAATCTAATCTTTATAACATACAACCGGAAATAGTTGAAAACCTTTATTTTCATATGTCCCGAATTTCGGGGAAATATCCACACTGGACTGTCATATATTGAGGATATCAGGTGTTCTCGAAAAGGTGAGCGTATCCTGCCCCACCGGCGGCAACCGTCACAAACACATGCAAAGGCAAGTCAATTGTTCATCTGAAAAATATAACACGGCGAAATTACTCATTCCTGGAAAGCACAAATGGACGTGTGCCAAAATGATGACAAGAATCCGTTCATAAATAATAATTGTGACCTGTTGACAAGAAAGGATTTTAACCATTTGGTAATAGTCAATTTGACACCCTCAATTTTCATTAAGAGATGACATTGAACAGCTCACGAAATGTGTTCTAAGACATGAATCAGCCAGTTCTACATGTTTGTAATTACACAGGTTCATAACACGGCTAGACGTAAAACTATGGCAGAAAATACATCAAGGGTATTTATCGACATACATGTAAAATGTAGATATTATACACTTGACAGTCGAAGATTATTTAGAATTAAGGTTTGTAGAATATATTCAACGCAAACACGATATGTACGGTATTTCAGTCTTCTGTACTAATATACGACGCTTAAGTGGCACAGGTCGTCGCATGGGTTTCGTGAAGGCACACCGATGGTTATAATATAGAAGAAACGGATCAAGGAAGTAACACTTCTCTTCAGAGTTGCAGATGTTGAACCGAAGACTTCTGCGCATCATAATACGTACAAGGTTAATGGATGCCGAAAGCGTTGCTCATTTCATGTGCTTACGAATGACTATCAAAAAGTAATACTACCAGATGTTCGCGAAAAAATTAGCATATCCTTCCTATCCAATGGTCAATATAGAGAATTGCATCGGACATCACTGTGGTAACTGGAACGTCAAGTGTGGACATGAAATGTAGACACCAAATGCCGGTGCTGCTGGAATATTGCTCGACATAAAGGATGGTTAACTATTTGATAGCTGAAGTCACTTCCCTTGTCATACAGACTTGTGGAGAATGCTTAGTCACTCTGAATAGTTATGCATATATCTAAATATGAAACAGATGAGGCGGCTTCACTGGTCTCTTGTATTTCTAGCTGAGGTGGGTAAATCACCGGAAAGCAATATACAATGTGATCGTTATTAAACGATATCAGATAATAGATGTACCTGAAGCTTAAGTTAAACTTAAATTTCGATTCATATGAGTGAGTGAGTATGGTTTTACGTCGCTTTTAGCAATATTCCAGCAATATTACGGCGGGGACACCAGAAATTGGCTTCACACATTGTACCCATGTCGGGAATCGAACCCGGCGTGACGAGCTAACGCTTTGACCACTAGGCTACCCGACCGCCCATATGCTTAAAGAAACAACTCAGCAAACAGCGGGGGCACAGTTGGTATCCATTGGGATGCTACTTCCTGCCTACATGTCCTAACCCCCATTTCACACATTGTTTTCTCAGTAGTGAGTGAGTGAGTATGGTTTTACGCCGCTTTTAGCAATATTCCAGCAATATCACGGCGGGGGACACCAGAAATGGGCTTCACACATTGTACCCATGTCGGGAATCGAACCCGGGTCTGATCCGTGATGAGCCAACGCTTTAACCATTAGGCTAACCGACCACGGCTGGGGCAGAATGGGTTTATTTCATATGTTTCCTCCCCATTATGTTCCATATTTGAAGGTCCTTCGAATCCCGGTTCGCCCCGATTATGTTTCTAGGTTTGTCAGCACCATACCCGTGCTCGTGGGTTTCACCGAAGTGGTAAGCGTCTGAGCGGCGTTAAACCCAACTCACTCACTCACCATATTTGAAGAACTTACGAAGGTTGCTATTATCGACAATGGAGAAGTCACCTGTTCTTACATGACCTACATGTTCGTAGCAGTATGATAAGTCTTGGCAGCTACAATTAGTGGAATGTACATCATGAGCTGCCAAGTCCGGACAACAACATGGATGATATGGTGTTCGTAAAGAAAACTGAAACCGTTGGTGGTTCTTGAAATATGATACATTGTAGGACATTTAAGGAACTGCCGTTTTGTGTGATAATGTAGCTTAAGTTTAAAAGCAATAGTTTTCCTAAGTAGTTTGATTTCATTCAATGACAAAAAGTGAAGTCTTGTACTCAGTACTGTCCCAAAGGGCAATATATTTCCCTAATCAGTAGTATCATTTGGTACTTAGCATCGTGGCCGCATCCTCGTCTTTAAGTGGGATGCCGGAAACATGTTCAATACATTAAGTAAATTATTCCTTCATACCATGGGCGATGGGTTAGCCTAGTTGTTGAAGTGTTCGCTTGTCACACCGAAAATCCGGGTTTGATTCCCTACATGGGTACAATATGTGAACCCATTTCTGGTTCCCGCTCCGTGAAAGGGCTGGGGTATTGCTAAAAGCGGCGTACCCCTTCACCCCTTCCTTGTAGTCAATGTCGTTAACCGATCACCGCTTTAGACGCCGAATACAAGGCATATTGGGACTTATGCAAATACAGTGTGGTGCCTCATCGTGGTTAGTATAACATCTCCAGGGTAAGTAACTATGGTTTCGCGGAGCTTTTAGAAACATTGTAACAATGGCACAGCGAGGGGTATCTAAAATAACGTCACAGCGTACTCATTATGGGAATCGAACCTTTATAAATATATGACAAATTTGTCCCCCATCGCCCCTAATGTGCACATCAATCAAGACAAGGAGAAAAAGTAATTTTTTATTTCAGAAAATAAAACAACACAAAGAACACACAATATTCATTACAACATGAAGTGACATACATAAAAGCAAAATCGTAAAAAAGGAGTTTAAGGCAAGAAATAACATCATGGATTTTGCTGACATTACCTTACCCTGGCAAAATATGACATTGAACAACGTCAATGTATATAATAGTTTCTACGTTTGGTATATTACCCTGTTTAACCTAAAATACATGTTTTACCCATTACGAAGAGAATGGTATGTATACAACAATCAATGTACACCAGTAGATACAAATCGCCACCCAACACGGCTTGTATGAAGGGCAGTTTTCGAAGGTTACTCACAATAATAACGAAAATAAAAAAAAATAAACAAGGCCGACCAATACAATTGGATTCGATAAAACAAGACAAAAACAATTTTAGTGTTAATTTTAAACCTTTTCTGCACAGCTGTGTTGTGAAAAATAAAAACATGTCAACAACCGCTGTCACATAGCTGGATTATTGCTGAGTGCGGCGTTAAACAACAAACAAACAAAAAATGTCAACAATAAAACTTTAACAAAAATCGCCTCATGACCTTCACAGCAACCTTGAGGGATGATGCATGGGACAAAGAAACAAAACTTTATAAAAAAAAATTTTGAAACGAAAACAATAATTTTGGTATCAAAATAAGGCCCTTTCATTATTCTCACAAAGTGGAAATTAACAGAAAAGTGGTTTTAACAATTGGTGCCACGTCCTTTTCTACCCGTCCACAGGAAGGTCTTACTGGCTTGGCCTAAAGAAACAGTCATATCTCTCTGGATATGGGATAACATATTGATACGGTTTCCTATATATCACAGACATTCACACACAAAACCCAGACCGGTTATACACCTTTTACATAGTTATTCGCATTATGACTATTCACTCATTATGATTGACATTCACTTCGGCATTCACATACATATAATACAATTACTCAATGATGATGAATAATAAGACTCTAGGGAAACCGGTATCATATTCAGTTTTCTTTGTGCATCCCGATAAAAATCGTTTTGGTATTTCTTTAGATCTAGCCTTGCAACGGCTACTGTTTGTTTTATCGTCGGAAAATGAAATATTAAACGATAGTAAATTCTGGCTATGACGAGGTCGCATATAAACCGAATAGTCGGTGATTTCGAAATCGTACCAAATCCATCTGGACTGGAAAATAACATTCCTGGTAATGTGAAGACGAACTTCGGATAAAAAAGGGATTTTTTTCGGATTTGTTTGTGTATATTCGATGCCAGATGTGGGTGAGTGAGTGAGTTGGGTTTTTTGCCACTTTGAACAGCAAGCCAGTTATATCACGGCGTGTTGGAGAAACGGTGCGGGTCTCGGACGTTTACCACTTTGAGCACTGGTATCGGGGAGAGCCCGGAATCGAACCCACAATTATTGGCTTCTGACGTGCCAAAGGGACGCAACTCTCATAAGAAGCCACAATGCAGACGTGAGGGCCATGCTGTGCAACCATGTGTTTCGTTAGTATAGATTCAGTATAAACCATAGACGGCTAGTAATACTAGGATACAAATACTCTTTAGCGTTTGTTTCTTACATTTAACACGGAGAGAACGGCAAATGATGATACAATCTGCAGAAATACATCACCTAAAGCAATATGAAAAATACATGAATTATATATACTACTCAACTTTCGATGAGGTTATATAGGTTTCATTAGGTTGTAGCTGTATCACTAGGGGTACATGTTCTTTTATGTGCGTTAGGTTTTATACTTCGAGTTTGAGGCGAGTGGCATAAAACCTAACGAGGGACGCATAAAACCACATGTACCCTGAATGATACTGATACAACGAATTTATCTTGCCGACAGGTTATAATCTGCTGTTCGATTGACTCGAAAAATGCTTGTGGCTGTTTGCTTCGTGGCGGGGTATATAGGATTTAGACTTCCGCCCAGAAATATATATCTCAAAGGAGGGATCGTAGTATTTTATCAAGATCACGTGAACCATCATTCTGGCATGGAGGTATGGTAATATATGTTTTACTCTTACATATACAACATTTAAATTTAGTATGACGTGGAATGATATGAATGTGCCTATCAAAAGTTGAGTGGTAAGTGTGAGTGGTTTTTAGCTACAGCGCATTTAATGGGCGAGCACTTTAGAACATTCATGAATGATATAGTATTTTTACATGCTTGAAAATAATGTAACGTTTACAATCAAAGCGAAACAGCAACACTTAACAGCGAACCGACAAAATATATGTATTGGTGCTAACAATCACAGAAATAATTTACTGTCCATGATTATTTAAAGTATTTGACAAACGTTTGAGGCTTAAATGGTGCTGGGAAAAAATATTACACCACGACCAAAATATATAAATCTTAACTCATTCTCAACAACACAAGAAGATATTGCTAACGGCTTATTGTTTCCAGTCAAACCACGCAGGGGCATGGTCCTCGAAATTCTTGTGCTCGTCAGTCCCAGAAACCAACACGGTGGTGGCGAACTTCCGGGGACGAGTCTCGTCTACGATTGGATAAGTTGTCGTTGCTATGTAACGGATAACGAAGCCACAGCGACGTCGGTCTGATTTGTTGGCCTGACTGCCGTGCACGATGTGGCCGTGGTGGAGGGACATCTGGCCAGCTTTGAGTGGACAGTGGACGGACTTTGTTGCGTCATACAAGTGGGGTGGGATCTCTTGATTGGATGTGAGCAAGTTACCCTTGGTATCTGTTTGGTCGTGCTGCAGGATTCCGCTCTTGTGGGTTGCTGGGAATGAATGAAAAAAGGTTACTTTTGTTTTCCATCACGTATGTCTGTGAAGGGCAACCGTTATTCTTCAGCAGGTCTTGCTTTTGGTTGGGTAATGTTAAATCTGCAGGGACAGATTCTAATTTTTTTAATACGTAGATCGTGTTTTGTATTAGCATCAGATGGGGCGATGTTGAACATTAACAAAAGGGAAATCACAGCATTTTTGGCGGCTACAATAGTTTCATGAGATTATGAGAGTAGATGGCGACGCACAAAAGTCAACGACAAAATCAGAAACGTCATGATTGATGGCGCGCGTCAAAAAAATATTACAAAAGTACAAACGGAGTATGAACCATAATTTAAAATAGTTGAACGTAAACACCTTTCTGTCATAATCCACACTTGTCTGCTACTTATATAGTTACTGGCACGGTAGGGCAAGATTGACGTATCTCCGAGAAAATTTTACTGTTCAAATATTTATATGGAATTTGTTAAGCCAGTCTCTACCTGGAATGACGATCATGCAGCCGTTCTCCACGTCAGCATCGTCGACAGCCAGCCACACGCTGACCACGTCTCCCTCGACGCCCCAGTACCTGCAAGTTGTCAGTGGCCAGTCATGGGTCTATGACTTTTACACGGCATTAAGTGTTTGCCGGGTATCACAGTGTGTTCTACAAAGGTGTACTGGTGGAAATATCATTGAATCAATCATCTAAATATGACAATTGAAAACTCGAAGTGACGCCTTTTCTGTAAAATAGTCAATAACAGAGTTGTATATGTATTCAGATACAGATTATAATAGACGGGTCTGAGATCGGAGACCGATCTGCCGCCAGATGAATCTCGAAAGAGACGTGTAATTTACTACTTCCGTCCTACTCCGTTGGCGCATGCGCACAGAAAGACAGTGTTTTCGTTTGTCTGTCGATGTGAACTCGAGAATAAAAAAACCAACACTTGTCGCATCTTCTGTATATAACAACCAATAACTAAACCTAACTTTGGAAATGATCCCTAAAGGCGGTCAAATATGCAGGAGTTATATTTATGTCTGATTTAGCTCACCTTACATCCTGATGCCAAGCAACGAAGGCCTCCGAGCCGTCCTTCTGGGGTACTTCTTCGTTGGGGTATTTACAGATGAACCTCGAGTCAAGCAGGATGAGGTTGGAGCCCAGGATCTCCTTTAAAGGCTTAAGGACGGAGGGTTTAGTGGCCACCTTCAGCACCCAGGGGTGTTCCACGTGAACGTTGTGCAGGTTGTACTGGGCGTTCTCCTTGCCTGCAATTGTTTTTGTTATCATTATTTAATTCAATTAGCAGGATATTATTATTATTATTATCATCATTATTATTATTATTATCATTATTATTATTATTATTATCATTATTATTATTATTATCATCATTATTATTATTATCATCATTATTATTATCATTATTATTATTATAATTATTATTATTTACAGATTAAAATAAAATATGCAGCAAAGAGTGTTTGGGTGATCCTGGCACAGTCAGGCTGGTTAGGCTCATCATCAGCTCAGGGCCCTTGCCCCCCCCCCCCCCCCCCCCCTACACGCAGCCCAGAGAGCGATTGGGACTTCTCCCAGGAAGCGCTGCCTAGTCAAACCCACCCAGACCTTTTCGGAGAATGTGAAGATTCCCCAACACTGCAGCCTTCTGCATTACCCAGATTGTCAGAAAGGCTGTTTATAAGATCTTGGTACGCCCTGGAACCATCAATTTCGTAGGGGCGATATCCCGCAAATGCTGCATACATTTGACGGCATTGGTACAAGCAAACCATTTGAGGATTCGAACATTGTCGAAGTCGGAAAAGAGGTAAGTGGCACTCTGACACTCCGGCACACGCCAATTTCGTCAAAACGGACCAATGAAAGATCAAATTATTAATTACATTATATAATTCTCATGTGTACTGTATTTATAAAGTGGATTCGAGTAGGCTTGAACTAAATGACTCGGTGGTATGAGAAATCATAGAGCCCGACATCGCTGCGCGCAGCTATTATTATTATTATGATTATGATTATTATTATTATTTAATTCTATTGGCAGGATAGTACAAATTAGTACGGTGAAACCCATTAATAAGCACGGGTTTGGTGCAAACGTCAGAACGCGGATCACAATGGGGGGAAATGTGGAACTTGGACTCATGATCACCGGATCCTGGTGTGGTTAAGGGTCATAACTCTGCACTGCGATGCACCAAATCCTCATGACCGTCTGTGCCTTGACACTCGGTTCAGACACAATACAAAACAATAACACGAGGTTGAAACAAATTCACTTAAACAAATCAGTTTGATTACAATGTGCCCACCATCTGTTTCACGTAGCATTTAGTCATTCCCAGCAATATCGCTTCTGGGGTCACCCAAAATGGGCTTCACACATTGTGGATACTTGGGGAATAGATCCTGGGCCTTTGGCTTGACGAGCGAACGCTTTATCCCCCGCCCCCGTCCACAACACGAGTCGGATATTTGTTAAAGTGGTACATTGATCACAAGATTCTGTTCTGATCTAATGGTGAGTGAGTGAGTGAGTGAGTGAGTGAGTGAGTGAGTGAGTGAGTCGGATATTTGTTAAAGTGGTACATTGATCACAAGATTCTGTTCTGATCTAATGGTGAGTGAGTGAGTGAGTGAGTGAGTGAGTGAGTGCGTGAGTGAGTGAGTGAGTGAGTAAGTGTGGTTTCACGCCACTATACGGGTCCCACTATAAACACTCGAGTAAACTAGGGTTTAAACGAACTCAAAGGGATCACTAATTTCAGTTCGTTATAACCGTAGTTCGTTATAAGCATATATACAGCATATATACAACAAATGGCCGGAACCAAAAATAAATTCGTTATATCCGTCTGTTCGTTATTAGCGTGTTCGTTATAAACGTAGTTAACTGTATTACGAATTCCCGTATTCGGGCGTGACGAGTAAACCCAAGCTGACCCACTGCCCATAAATCACGGTGAAAACCACATTTCTAAATAACGATAAAAGTTGTTTTCAGAATGTTGCTTTTCAGAGTTTGAGGAAATATTATGAACTTCCTCAGCACATCCCAACTGTTTTCAAAGCCTTCTTCCGACATTTGACCTTTACATAACTGACAACAGTGAAACTGCTTTCAACACTCACACTAAAGTAAACCCCAGCCGGAAGAGAATCCATTTCTCTATGTGAACAAAGACAATAGACACTGCAAACACGAAAACGTCTTTTTTTCCGTATTTGGTCATTGGACGGAAAAACGACTAAAAATTCATTAAAATTGATTAATTGGTTAGCGTCTAGAAAGTGTCCGGAGAAGCGTCGAGTTTTCAAGGGTAAAATGGACGGAAAAACGATGCTTTTTGCTCCGCCTTGTACAACTGTTAACGGCCAATCAGATGGCGCTGGTCCCCCCGACGCACGTGATGCCCAAGGCTTCCTTTCGGAAGCATCAGGTTTCGTTTTTCTGGCATGCCTTGCTCTAGTATCTGTCGCGCGCAGTGTAGCGAGATTTGCTGATTAGTCAGTTTTAGGATATGTAACATGTTAATGGAATTCAGACACGCGCCAAGAAGTCAAACCAAACCATGTTACCAAGTTTATTGAGATAACATATCCCTCCTCTATGCACAGTTACCTCTATCGGATAATGGGTTGTGTTTCATTTAGTTATAACAGTAACTAATTTTGTAATGTGAAGTTTACACGATATAAAGCTTTTCCATAGGACGAGAGGTGGGTCACATGGCGTTTTTCACGTGACTGTATTCTTGAAATTACGTAAACACTGACTACTCCCACATTCCTGGGGAAAACCCTGGAATTCCCTAATACGAATTCATACAGAAGCGTTGTTTCTCATCATTTAGACCCTTTAATTTTGAACGTAGCGTCTTAGCATACTCTGGGATAAGTCATAAAGTTTGGTTGCATGCCCGTTTAAGGATACCCTCGCTACAACCCATCCTAGAGAAAAGAAGAAGAAAAAACCCCAAAAAATCCAAACTATCGTAGTGACAATCTACAGCAATCTATGAATTTACCTTAGTATCTATTTGACACATCTTTACAATCACCTTTCAATGATCGGCCAATTGATCAGTGATGACAAAGGCTTGAAAATCGCCACAGGTTAATTAACAACTTCGGAAATATCTCCTGTCACGTTTATCGTGTCGGCCATTTTGACGTCTTGTACTTGATGTAAATGTATTACGACGCCCTGTCATTGTGATTGACTTACTGAGATAGTTCTTAACAGGCCTTCTCATCTAATGAGGATGTTTTTTTGGAATACATTTCTTGAAAACAAACTAATACAGATGCTCCTCGCTTTTTGGGGAATTATTTTATTCCGGAATGGCCTATTAAAGCTAATAGTAAATCAAGGCACCATGCGTGTATATGATCTGTTATTATATGTGTTTAACAAATACGGTTTGGGTCGTTTATAAAATACACTGACGCAAGTATATTCTAATCAAATCAATTGGATAATTGAATATGCTTTATTTTACATATTACATAACATCACTACACAAAATTTGGACAGTTGCAGTAACACACTACGGTGATCGCATTAAACACCACTTTGAACAGTATTTCAGTTATATCACGGTGTATCAGACTGATGTGGGATAAAAATCCGAAGTGGTTCAGGCCATCCAACGGGTGTTCGCGAAAAGGTGATCGTATCCTGCCACACAGGTGGCACCCGTCACAAACACATGCAAGGACAAGTCAATTGTTCACCTGAACCTGAACACACAATGATGCCCGTCCTCACTATTACCGAGCATGTAAATTATATTGTCCGTCAAAAACATGGACGAGTATAAACAATAGGTTCCTACAGGTTATACATGTCATACATTTGACAAAATGTATTGACTCATGACATTATTGTTAATCACAGCGTATAGTCTCGGCATGCAGATGAACTCATTACCCATCCCATTATTGATAATTCTTCTTGAAGAGCTATAGCGCATTTTTACATTTTATCTTTAAATTGGCATGTTAGACTTCTATTGTCGCGTTGTCGTATTGTCGCATTGACGCCCTTACAAAACAAGCAAAACGTGTCAAAATTAACCAAAGCGCGACAATTCGACAACGCGATATTTTGGCCATTTGTCGCATCGTCGCGTTGTCGCATTGTCGCTCTTTGAATAATCTTTTTCTATATTTTACAAAAGGGCGACAATGCCGTAACGCGACATTTTCAATGTCAAAATATGTCTCGTTGTCGCATTGTCGCCCCATCACAAATGTGTATAAAAGGCGTAAAGTTCAGTTAATGTTACAGTTAGGGAGCGGTAACCAAGTTGTATCTGTCTAAACCTTCCAGCACATTGTACATATCCTTCGTATGAGCACTGTATATATTGCGCACTATGTTTCCACAATGTGAAGCTTCAACTGTAAATTGTTCATTTTCATTATGCAATATTATGTATAACTGTATGTAGGGAGAAGGCGGTAATAAGTGCTGCACTTGTGCCCAATCCCTTTGTCTTTTTGGACAATACAATATGTATAATAATAATAATAAATATAGCTGCAAAGCAGCAATGGTGGGCTCCAAGCTATACTGTGCACAAACGTCCATGTTCAAAGCCTCAAAGGGTTTCCTTGTACCAAATCCCTCAAATTTAGGCACCACTTGTAGGGTATCGCCGCTACGAAATTGTTGTGTGCCGGGGTGTCCAAGTCTGTTTGAAAGCATTTCATGCAGTGGATTCAGAGGAGATAGTATTTGAAGACAGGTACCCAAAAAACCTGTGAAAACCTTAAATCCAATATGGCTGCCAAACCATGTGACCAATGACCAAAGTCAAAGAACAAACGATGTCAAGAAACTGAAGCAGCAGATACATACAAGGTTTGAAAGTAAACGGACAAACGGTTGTGGAGCAGCAGGGCAAAATATATCGTCCAAAAATACTTGTTTTTCATTTATCTGCCCTTGTCCGTTGGGCCTATGGCCTTGTGTTTTTTGGGGGAATCTAGTACTCAAAGGTCTCCATACACACACAAAATTTGAACAAAATCGGGCTAGTGGTTATTTTGCTAGCGCTGGTACAAAAATCGGCGGAATAATAAATAATAATAAATATAGCTGTATAGCAGCAATGGCGGGATCCAAGCTATACTGTGCACAAACATCCATGTTCGAAGCCTCGAAGGGTTTCCGTGAACCAAATCCGTCAAATGTAGGCACTACTTGCAGGGTATCGCCGCTACAAAATTGGCGTGTGCCGGAGTGTCCAAGTCTGTTCTTACCCCATTTCCGACCTCGGACATGTTCGAATCCATTTAAGGTTTGCTTGTACCAATTCCGTAAAGAAATAGTCACCGGAAATCACCACAACGAAATTGGCGTATTCCAGGGGTGTCCCAAATATTAATCAAATATTACCACCAAAGGAGTTACTTTAGCAGGCAACCAAAAACAAACAATAAGATGCATATGGCACACTAACTTCATGAAAACTTTCAATAGTTTCTGTGGAGAACCTTACAAGATATGATCTTCAAAGTAGAGTTTCAGTGAAAAAAATGATCAAAATCAAAATCCAATAAAAAATATCCAAAATCGGCTAACAGAGTTTGATGTGCTATGTAAGGACTCTATTCTCAGAAAGTGTGAACACATTTCATGCAATGGATTCAGAATAGTATGCATTTAAAAACAGGTACCCAAAAGACACTGTGAAAACCTTGAATCCAATATGGCTGCCAAACCACGTGACCAATGACCAAAGTCAAAGAACATAAAATGTCAAGCACCCAAAACAGCAGACACATCTAAAGTTTGAAAGTAATTAGACAAGCGGTTGCGGAGCAATAGGGCTAAATATAACTTTAAAAATTGCTTATTTTTCAGTTATCTGCTCTTGGTCTTTGGGCCTACGGCCTTGGAATTTGTGTGTTATCTGGTACATAAGTATCTGGATACACATACACAATTTGAATGGAATCGAGACAGTGGTTAATATGCTAGCTCTGGTACAAAAATCGGCGGAATAATCATAATATTAAATCGAACGAGAGCACTGGGACTCTTCAGCTTTTCGGCTTGGTGACTCTTTAGGCTGTAACTTCTTTGTCAGTTGAGCTCCATTCAAATGGATGAGCGTTCTGAGTTCGTCAGGGCCCCGGTTTTATGTCGTATTGCTGAGATAAAGTGCTAAACCTGTTTCCGACCTCGTCCATGTTCGAATCCTGAAATGGTTTGCCTGTACCAACGCCGTCAAATGTAATGAACCGCTTGTCAGACATCCCCACATGTGTCCCAGTGTGTTCTTAACCCATGTTTGACTTCGACCATGTTCGAATCCTCAAATGGTTTGCCTGTACCATCGCCGTCAAATGTAATGAACTGCTTGTGAGACATCACCACATATGTCCCAGTGTGTTCTTAACCCATGTTTGTCTCCGACCATGTTCGAATCCGCATATGGTTTGCTTGTACCAACTCATGCAAAAGATAGTCACCGTTTGCAGGACATCACCACTACGAAATTGGTGTGTGCCAGGTTACCCAGTGTGTTCTAAACCCATTTACCACCAAGACAATGTTCGAATCCCGATAATCGCCTCTTAAGACAAGCATGGGTTGCTGAAGACCAGTTCTAACCCTCATCTTCAAGGGTAGTATTCATACTGCAAAAGACACTTGACGGTCAAAGGGAAATAACCCTAGGTTTTCTGAGCGATGTATTCGGTATTTTGTCAATATTACCACCAAGCGGTGTTACTTTTAGCATGCAACCAAGAACAAAATATCATGTACATATGTCCGACTAACTTATTGTGAACTTTCAATGGTTTCTGTGGAGAACCTTACAAGATATGATCTTTGTATAAAGTAAAAATTCGGTGAAAGCAATCATCAAAATCAAAATACAGTAGCGCCGTCACCAAGAAAGATATCCAAAAACGGCTATGGCAATTTGTTGTGTTCTGTATGGAGACAATTCTCAGGAAGATTGAAAGCATTCCATGCAGTGGATTCAGAGGAGATAGTATTTGAAGACAGGTGCCCCAAAAACCCTGTGAAAACCTTAAATGCAATATGGCCGCAACTAAATATGATATCCAAAAACGGCTATGGCAATTTGTTGTGTTCTGTATGGAGACAATTCTCAGAAAGTTTGAAAGCATTCCATGCAGTGGATTCAGAGGAGATAGTATTTGAAGACAGGTGCCCCAAAAACCCTGTGAAAACCTTAAATCCAATATGGCTGCCAAACCATGTGACCAATGACCAAAGTCAAAGAACAAACAATGTCAAGGAACTAAAGCAGCAGATACATACAAGGTTTGAAAGTAAACGGACAAACGGTTGTGGAGCAGCAGGGCAAAATATATCGTCCAAAAATACTTGTTTTTCAGTTATCTGCCCTTGTCCTTTGGGCCTATGGCCTCGAGTTTTGGGGGGAATCTAGTACTCAAAGGTCTCCATACACACACAAAATTTGAACAAAATCGGGCTAGTGGTTATTTTGCTAGCGCTGGTACAAAAATCGGCGGAATAACAAATAAAAATCATAATAAATAATTAATCGAACGATTACAATAGGGCTTCCAGCCTTTCGGCTTGGAGCCCTAATAAATAATAAATCGAACGATTACATTAGGGCTTCCAGCCTTTCGGCTTGGAGCCCTAAATAATAAATCGAACGATTACAATAGGGCTTCCAGCCTTTCGGCTTGGAGCCCTAATAATAATAAATAATAAATCGAACGATTACAATAGGGCTTCCAGCCTTTCGGCTTGGAGCCCTAATAAATAATAAATCGAACGATTACAATAGGGCTTCCAGCCTTTCGGCTTGGAGCCCAAATAATAAATCGAACGGTTACAATAGGGCTTCCAGCCTTTCGGCTTGGAGCCCTAATAATAATAAATAATAAATCGAACGATTACAATAGGGCTTCCAGCCTTTCGGCTTGGAGCCCTAATAAATAATAAATCGAACGATTACAATAGGGCTTCCAGCCTTTCGGCTTGGGGCCCTAATAATGAATCGAACGATTACAATAGGGCTTCCAGCCTTTCAGCTTGGAGCCCTAATAAGCAACCAATGTATTATGATCAGGGTCCATTGGTATCCCTTCAGCAAGTTCGAATCATGTCCTAACACATCTGTTTTGGCATGTATCACGCGCTATACAGTCGAACCTCGCTTATCCGGACAATTGCTTTTGCTAAAATGTTGTCCGGATAAACGAGTTTTTGGATATCTGAATACCTTGTTAACTGACCAGAAGTCCTTCCCCTACCTCAATTCTACCGAGGCATATGTGAAATGAATGGCAAAAATATGATTTATGAAGGATTGACCAATTACTAATAAAATACGTTGTGCTGTACAGACTAACACAGCATGCTGTGACAGCGCACTGAATTATTGAAACGACTGAATGCATATGTAGCCTAGTTTAGACTATGCACTTGTTTTGTATACAGATGTGACTGCGAGGTTAGGGCAACCTGACACACATGAGCATTAATAGCCATGTTTACCGCTACCAGTTGACTGCCCAGATTGAACTCTTTCATGTGTGAAAAATGTTCAATATCTTAATAAGTTATATCACTGAACACTGGTCAAGGTGTATTCAGTAAACAAGGATCTGAGGGGCTGTATTTCCTTCATCGAACACACGCTGCGTTCATCACAGTTTGTGACTTTCTAATCTAATTGGGAATCATGCAGTTGCTAGGCTTACGGATACTAACGAACAAGCACTTGTATGGCAGGTAGGTTTTGTTAAGATTTGTTATCTTGTCTCTCTACCCTCTACTTCCTTAATCACAATTTAAATCCTAAATAGACTTTCGGGCCTAACACTGTGGCAATTTTAGACCCTCTGTTTCTGTATTTATTTGAGCTCATTTTCCCTAATGTTTACATCATCTCATAAGACTAAGTCATCAATGATGTCAAAGCTGTCTGACATGTTTCTTATGAACAGTTTATGAAGCTAAACAATATCCAAGTGACTTAAGCACAAAAATATGCGCTATCCATTTGATCGACGTTTATATGTGATTTTTGTTTAGATTTTAGATTTTTAGAATCGCAAAATAGCCGTGAAAGTTACTGAATCTCAGTGATGACACCAGTTGTTCGCGAAAAGGGTAAGCATGTCCTGCCCTACAACTAGCACCCGCCATTCACACAAACCAAGTCTTATCGTCCCTTGGTATAAGTTGAATAACACTTAAAGCATAGCCATTATCTTCGCACAAAACCAAATTTCAACCGGATATCAATTCCATTTTATAAAAACTTACCAATACTTTTTTCAAAGTCATTGAAATTCTTTCGCAGATCCAGCGTCTCTTCTTCGTTGAGAACGGACAGACCGCATATGTAGCCGTTAGTGTCGAAAAATTCGGCCACGTTTTTAACATCGGTCATCGTTAGTTGTTCAGTCGGCCGCTTGTTAACGCAGTGATATGGATTTGACAGTTGTTGTGTGCTAGATTGCTAGATCGCTGTATTTATAGGAGACTAACCGGAAGGTACAGCCACGCCTTCATATCTGGATACGATTGGACTGCAGTGGTGCAAACATACTTCTTTTTCAAATACCTCTATGTTTGGGTCACCTTGTGACGTGGGGCAATGCGATTCCCCTTTTTTAAAACCCTCCGCCTCTGAATGACCATTTCTAGATGTCTTTCGTCTTCTTTGATTTGATTGGTGGAACCGGCGTACGTGATTAGGAACCGTTTGACTATGTGACACCTTGAAGGGCAAGGTGTACTTGTGACCAGCGTCCGAACTGACCCTTCAATCCCCTTGAAGGAATGAAAGCAGGAAGCATTGAGGCATGTTAGAATCCAGTCGACATAATACCCAACTGTGGGGGTAACTAAGTTTAAAGTTATTTCAATCCCTTGACGTAGAGAGAAGGAAATAGAGGAAGGGAGAGACAGAGACACTGACAACTAGCTACAGTCAGTCATAACCGTGGTAAAGACGGGGAATCTGTCAAAACTGTAAAATGTACATGGATGTGTATATGAAATACATTAAAGTTTGGGTAAGGTCTAGTCTCAAACAAACCCACAAGGTGTTGTTTTAGGGAGTGCCACACTCCACTACTACAATAATATTATCTCATTCTCGCATTCCGACACCCCCCCCCCCCCCCCCCCCCACACACACACACACATTAGTAAATATTCTTAAAAAACGATTCACTATCTCGTTTATGTCAATGTTTCATAGTTTTGCGCGTTATCAGTAAGTCATTTCACGTGCGAGAGAGAGACAGAGAGAGAGAGACACAGAGAGACAGAGACAGAGACAGAGAGAGAGAGAGAGAGATTCTATATTTCCTCCAGATGTCATTCAATTACTATGAAAATATATTCATTTACACAATAATAAAAGGCAGAACATATTTACAATTACACACAGTTTATCAAATTCAGATACCTAAACGAGGACAGATATTCACTAAAAGATATATATCAAAAGATGCTTTAGTTTGTACAGATACGAGGCGAATTGTAGTATAATAGTTTACCAGTGTGTTGATCCAGATTGTGAGTATATTTGTTTCAGCCCCAAGTACGTCAATGAGAGAAGAGAAAAATGCATTTTGTTCTGATATCAGCGCTTCACAATGTAAAATAATGTCAAAGTCGAAAGCATGCCTATTACAGAGCATTCACTCTTTCGAAAGTTTACTGCGTGATGAGACTTTCACACAGAGTTGTAAAGCAGGTCGATATTCCGGGTACAGAAAAGCTCATCGCCAAAGTACATGGTAACCCACGAGCACGGGTATGCTGCCGAACCAATAATCTGGGATTTGAACCCACTATCATAATATACTATATCCTCCAGTTGTCAGAATGTGCTCGGATCTGATCAGAGATTGTGGAGTTTCAGGTTACAAAATGACATTCCATTAACAGGCTCAGTGCTGGTCCTTAAGCAGAGAGGGCCTTGGGACGGTGTACCTTTAAGACAGATAACGGAGATCATATTACCAAGCAAAATAACACTGTGTAACAAAGTAAATAAGAGGATCATGACACACCATAAAAGGTAACATCGTATCCCAACTGATTAGATCGATGCTCATGATGTCAATCACTGGAGTGTCAGGTCCAGACTCGATTATTTACAGACGGCCGTCATATAGCTGGAATATTGCTGAGTGCGGCGTTAAACAACACACAAACAACAAACACTCTCTCACCCCGCCCTCACCTTAGGTGCCCAACTCTGTCCAGGGAATGGGGTTGCCTAGGCCGCGGTGCCTGAGACGAGCGGGCCATTGGTTGCTAAAAGTGGCATAAAACTATATTTTGTTCAAATAATGAATTAACTCTCATCCATGCCCCGAGTGTTTTCTATCAAACTACATTAGTGTATCGGTAAAGACATATGTGATGCACCTGTTCAACCGAGACACAGTTTGCACAAAACACACGTGGACTTAATACGTGTCGAGGCAGGATAACGCTGCCCTTGTCGACTATGTGACGTCAGCGATTAAAACACACGCTGACGTGATAAAAGATTATACAAATTCACTGATTCAACCGGGAAGAAGGTTGATATGATACAATAAACGTATGTAGGTACAACTTGGTCAAACTTCGGGAGCAAACAATCTAACATATCAGTAGCTGACTCATTGTTTCCTCATTTGAATACTTCTTACCACCCTCCACCATTTACGTGGTTGTATATATCAATGTAACCAGTGCTTTTCGAGGAACTTGTTATTGAGATTATTATCCTTGTAACCTAAAATATGAATAATGTAAAATAAATTTAATTATATGTGTCCTGCCGCTGAACTATTGAATGAAAAAGTAAATACTATTTTAAAAAAAATGGTTTTAAAACAATGACTGGAACAAGAGGAAACTTCAAGAAACTATAGAAATATAACGACACAAGACACTCATTGACCAAGGCATCAATTTTCAGACCTCAGAATTGAATAAGTCAACAAACTTCTTTCAATCTTTTCGGAATATGTCTCCCACTGAACAAGCTGTCTTTATAATAATAGTGTGCTGCGTTCAATCTCTGAAACTAATGTAAACAATATTGAATGAAATTTTTAATAAAATTAATATATTACAGACATAAGTCCTGATATACAATGAAAACATCTTTTTATAAACAGATAGTGTAATGATACGTTGAAATTGCGTACTTCAGTTCGCTTTGGTTGGCTGGTATTTCCGGTGTTACATGCTAGTAGTGATAAGCTGGTAAATTTTTGCGCTGTGGCAAAAAAAACTTCTTGTCAGTGTAAAACTTTATTAAATTTACGTGGGGCGGTCGGGTAGCCTAGTGGTTAAAGCATTCGCTCGTCACGCTGAAGACCCGGGTTCGATTCCCCACATGGGTACAATGTGTGAAGCCGTGATATTGTTGGAATATTGCTAAAAGCTGCGTAAAACCATACTCACTCACTCACTTTTAAATGTACGTAAATTTTGGTTGCCATGCGTTACCGCTGCGCTATAATTGAGTTAAGGCTATATTGAAGGGAGCAATAACGAGGGAACAATGTAGCTTGTGTATAAGAATAACGAGATAAATTAATCCCGACGACATTTTCCCTAGTTTCAGGTGTGGTCAAAGCAATATTAAGTTTGGTTATTCCATATATAGCTGCTGTATGTTCAAGCCAACTAAGGGGACACAGATTTCCAGGTGATTTGAAGCGCCAGAGTTTCATTCCAGAGCTGTGTGTTGGAAGCAGCTGATTGTGGGTTTGGGGCCAACTGTGTTTGGAACACTAGGTCTGTTGACAACCTCCGTGGTCCAGTGGATAGAGAGTGGAAGGACGGTGGTTTGATCCCTGTCTGTATACTTGTTGTTTCCCTGCCTGGAGCTTGGCATTGAGGGGGTAAAACAAGTGTGAAGCATTGACATGATCGAAGTAGTGAATTATTTTTAAGAATATGTTTCGGTGTTTTCTTGGAATGCCGGGTCCTGTTGATTAAGTCGTGGAAGTATTGTTGTGATATTGGTATCATGTCACTTGAAAGTACCTTCTCGTACGTTACACGTGAAAACAAGAACTGTTTCGCAGAGTAACCTACATTTGCATTAGTATACTGTTTCGTAGCACGTTCAGTTCTTTTTTTTATTTGAATTTACTTGATTTTATATGTCTCATAGGCCATCTATGTTCAATGATATATCTATATCTTCTTATGTGGCAGTATATTTTAGTGTTTAACAATGATTCTAACTGTGTAACAATGTTTGTGTTAAGATTCGGTAGACGCTCATTGCATTGTGTTTGGACAGTGATTAGTCCTCAGAAGTGTGGTACTATTTAATGTAAGCAGTCATCAGAAAGTTACTATATTTAGATGCTAGTGTGGTGTGTAAAATTCCGATCCGGTATACCGCGGACGGTGTTGGTCTGTTGTAGAAACACGTGGAATATTCTTTGTTGTGAGGGCACTGTGTAGCTAGGTTTGATGCATATAAGGAGACAAGACGCATCTCTCATCTTTCATCACATAGGAACCAGCTTTCATGTGAGGATCACTCATTATCCCTGATTCGCTGCCTAGCCCATCTCGGAAGACCACTGTCGCCGCTGGGTAAATATATACACTCTTCAAAAAGGAAACTCACAGGTAGAATGTAGTTCATTGAACCTGACTACACAAACAATCCGGTGTATAAATTGGATATATGTTATTGGAAAATGGTGGCGGTCTGATATTCGTCAAACGGTGCTTCAAAACGCAGCCATTGTCGATTTGCAATGTCTTAAACGGCATTGTTTTCACAAGTTCGAAAATGCCGAGGCTCAGCGCTGCCGATCGGAACATTGCCATAGGACGTGTGCACGCCACTTCAACGTCCACCACAGCGCCATTTGCCGCCGTTGGGACACGCAGTTCAATTCCACCGCAGGCCGTCCGAGAACTGGCCGACAAAGAGTTACCACCCTGCACAGGATCGCTACATTCGACTGTTTCACCTGGTTTGAGGAGGATATCGGACCAGACTGTCAGGAAACATCTTTGCGAGGCTGGAATCCGACCCAGAAGACCAGTTATCGTCCCTGTTAACAGATCCATCGACAGCCATACCTTACAGTCTTTGAATTTGAGAAACTGAAGACGAGTGTGGTTTAGTGATGAATCATGATTTCTTCTTCACCGGCGTCATGGAAGACAACGTGATTATCTTCGTCGCAAAGAGAGTTTTGACTTATCCTACACCAGGAGATCTGACTTGGTTGTGGTTCAGGGTAATTTGACAAATTCTTCAACCTCACTTTCTTCCTATCATTGGCCACCAGAGGGAGCTGTTTCAAACAACGCTCCACCGCACACAGCTCGTGTCACGGTAAACTACCATCATAATCGAATACCTCTTGGATGAACTCGATCGACGTGTACGTCAACGTCAGAACGCGCCGCAGATACTCCCACAGCTGACCAACGCGTTTGAAGCAGAATGGCGCAGAATTCCGCAGGATAGCATTCGTACACTTATCCAGTCAGTGCCGAGGAGATGCAGAGCCATGATTGATTATATTGACAATGTTTTTCTATGCCTTTGTACAACATGTGCCTATCGAGCTCCAAAAATTCATATTTGTATCTATGATGTTAAATTATGTATATCGACTTTATTAGGTACAAT